ACCGATTTCGACTGCACTGGGATGCGTCGCCGCTCCGTCGGATGCTACTGGCTGCGTGACAAGCCGCCCTTAGACTTCATCGCTGAGAAATTTACCGCAGTGCTGACAGACTCCTACAGCACCGCAAAAGAATGGTACAGCGTTCGCCGCCGGTGTCACGTCGAGACTCACTATTCCTACGCCGCCATCGCCCCATCACCCCCGCGAACGCGCTCTCACGGCGCCGACAAGGTAACCTTGGCAAGCGCCATGCACAAAGGGTCCGACAAGTCGAATCGGACCCTTGGCCTGAGCTGGAGATGGCGAGTGAGTTCGACTCAGATCTCGAATTCGAACCATGGCGCCTCGGGTGTCATGCGTCGTTTTTCCGCTCGAAAAGACGCACCGATGAGCATAATCGCTTCGTGTCTCAGCAACGATGACTACACGGTTACAACCACGCCGAAAAGAACAATGACGTCGAGAGCTACGAGGTTTACATCGACGACATTGCCATGAACGAAGAGGCTGTGGAAGATGAACCAGCGCGAACGTTGAATGAAGCTGACGTGACCATTGGTGACGACGTCATTGCAAGGTGGATATCGCTGAAGTAAACTCTTGGTAGCGTGGAACCCAAGTCGCATGCTGCACATTCGTCGACCTTCTTGAGAACGACGTCTCCGAGAACCGACTATTTCGCCCCGAGGCGCCCCGTGTGACGCCTGCGGCAGCCGCCCAATGAGCCGCGTTCTTGACCAAGCTGCACCTCCAACACTTGCTGCTGAACACTGAAGCATTATGCCTCTGCAGCTCTGCGTCACGACGCATGGCCACGCGACAAATTTGTTCCGGCATGTGCCGTTCACTCACCACGTCTCCCGCTCGGCTAAGCATCTCTACGGCCGGCTCGTCGTAGCACCTTGGAAAAGCTAGTCCACCACCATATCCAGTTCAGTGTAAATTATATCTAAATAGACTCACTTCAACAACGACGTCTCCGAGCACGAACTGCAGGCCGTCACGTATGTGTGTGAGCATTGCGATGCCCGTCTCATGCCGTTGGAGATTTACAAGCTTGGCTCACCCTGCTGCAACAATTGTAAAGTCGGTGTCGACCATACGTGCTCCCACGCTGCAAGGCGCGATCCTCCAGCAAGTTACGTTGTCGATTGCTTCGACCGATACGCTGCGTTGCTGCGCAGCCAAAGCTTCGTCGCTCAACTGCGTCGTTACAATGCAGCCTTCCAGTGCACTAGCGTCGAGTACACAGAACGGGAGCTCGACCTGCCTCCGAGCCAACGCAGACGCTATTCTTTTCTGTGCGGCGAGGGTGGCTCAGGAAAGAGTATGTGTCGAACCTTCTGCATGCATGGTGTCGGTTCAACGAACGCGTCGCAATTGCCGCTGTATCTACGGGCCTTGCTGCGCTCACTCTTCACGGTGGTACCACTGCTCACCCGCACTTCAAGATCCCTTGGTGGTCAACACCGACACGATTCTTGTGAAGAAACAGAGTCACCTCGCCGCGTTGCTTCGCGAGACTGATTTCTTCGTCTGGGACGAGTGCCCGATGATTCACAAGGACGCCATTGACGCCGTTGATCGCATGCTCCGAAATATTTGCTCCGAGACGCATCGACATTTTGGCGGCAAGACCTTTCTTTTCTCGGGTGATTGATTTCGAGCAAACTCCACGTGCTTCACGTAAAGAATTGGTCGACGAAGCTTGCTTGAAGCGCGGCGATGCCTGGGGCATCGTGTCTACTTCCCCCTCCTCACCAGCATGCGCGTTCTTGGACACGATGCGCCGTTTACAAACATATTACGTGCCGTCGGCAACGGGTCTTACGGCCGCGAGCAGGCAGCACACGGCGGCTTCGGTGATGAGTACATCTGACTACGAAGACATCATCATCGACTGTGACTCCCGGCATGCGCTTACCGACCCTGCAATGACGATGCTCTTACACATGGTTACGCGCCTTGCAAGCCTTCGCGAGTCCATTTCGATCCAACGTCAAACCAGCACAACACGTGAACTCGCGATTGCTGTGGCCGCACCGGTAGCGTCGTTCACATGGGGCGGATGCCTGCCTATGATAACTCATTTCAACTACAACGCCTCCACCCTGTTCCAGCTGTTCATATTGTCTCGAGTGCATGGGGTTTGAATGCATCCCGGGCAGCCGCATCGGTCGGTCCCTTGCGGAAGCTGCGTTCATTCGACCTGCAAAAGAAATGCGATGCTGCCAAGCTCTCGCAAGGTGATCATAACAGTGGCGTCCGCTGCAGGCCACCAAGTACTTGACGTGGCTGCCATGGATGCAGTGTCGCGCGAGTTTGCATACTGACGCGGATTTTTGCATGCGACCAAGACCATGATGCAATTGATGACACCTGACGAATGGGCTGCCCGTCGTGTCAATGAGATGAGCTACATTACATATTACGACATTTTACTGAAGCCCAGGTAAGAGCAGCACTACTAACATGCATAACATTAAATTCGCTCGTGGCGCCACGCTATTTCACCAATCAATATCTGCTCGTAAGCGCCTTGCCGGCAAATTTGGAATTTGTAGTCTTTACAGTAGGGAATACATATATCTGGGCGGCTTTTGTGCTCTTGGTGGTCTTAGGTATCACTTTGCAGGCGCTCTGTCACCGGCTGGACCACACCGCTTAACGTGACAGCGGGCTTCTTCGTGTGCTTGACGAGAGCGACTTTTGGCCGGTTGGTAGCTCAGACTGAACGTTGGCAATACAAATGCCCCACTGCACACCAAATATATAGGGCAACACGTTAACGCCGGCGACCGAATGTTGCGTTCGAGGCGAGCAACGAACGACGCGCGGGCACGTCTCGTCTTGTACCTTTGACGTCTTGGCGGCAAAGACAAGATCGCCTGAACCAAAGGCGTTCGTGCGGAATAAAACAACTGGCCGAGTGGTCTGAGAGTGCGGAAAGGGGCATAGCGGAGTAAGGTTCCAGTGTAAGAGATAGACCTTGATCGAACTCGGAGACTACTGCGTCCCAGACTGCATCCCTCGAACCAACGGCAGTACAATTGATTGCAAGACGTCGAGGAGTACACAACGCGTCAAAGCTTCAGAAAGGACGTTTTTCCAATTCGCTTCGAATTCCCGCGGTTGTCAACCCAACCATCCGACGTGCGGTGGGTCCCTTGCGGGGTGGGAGTGTAAAACCAACGCATCAACACGAAGAAGTAAATGCATTTTATCGCTGGGTAACGTAAAGCATTCGTTCAGGGCTCACAAGAAAAGACTCGTCCACATCGTCGGCTGCACCCAGTTGTAGTCGTTGCGCTCGATAACCTAATATCGAATTCATCAATATTTGAGTCCACGCATAAACTCTCATGAACCTCTTGGATCTGCGTGCGTAGCTTGTCGAAAATGGCCTTTTCCTGGTCCTGAATGAGAAACTTGGCATCCTACATGG